GCCGTAATAAACCTAATAAGACAAAAAACCTACACCACTATAAATGAACGTTAAGTAATTACACTTTCAGTTTCAAATTGACTAAAAGCTAACTACCTATTTAGAATGTTACGAGAGAATGAAGAAACAATATAACAATCGCTGATATTAACTTAAAGAACTATCTAACTATGAAAGAAACGATTGAGTTAGAGATGCTCCCTGTTACGTTCAGCCGCTTGCATGCACTAATTGCACAACATGTCATGTCCTACACGAAGCAGAGGATTAACATCTGGCTTGCATACTGAGAGATAGAGGTTGAATTTTGAACTGGTATTATGGGTTTTCTAACCCATAATAATACTGATTTACGTCATCGTCCCGTTGTTACTATGTTTCAATCTGTGGTGCCGGTGCCATAGCTTCATCTCCTTGAAGCATCACGTTGCTGGAATCAATGAGTTGGTTGCCTACTTAATTTGCTGAATACTTCCTCGTGGGTGGACGTTTTTTTTCAGTTGGAACTTCAAACTGTAAAGAAGTCTATGGAATTGTCATCTCCTCCTAACTAGATAACTCAAAATATCTAGTTAGAGGAAGGAGTGGTGCATATTTGCCAAAATCTATTTGTAAACCCAACCCATTTAGAGCTCTGAGATGGAATGCTTCTCTCTTTCTGAGTTTTTTATGCCGGCAGTCTCTGACCGAGTAATAGAAATAGAATAATATGGTGTTGGTGGGTTACAGCCAGATGGATCTGTCAATGCCACAATTAAAAGTCGGATGACATGTTCTTTATTACTTGGGCCAATAATATTTCAAATGTAAATTTAGAAAATAAGCCAATAATATCTCTATTCCTTTACAGTTTACATCGGTGTAGCCAACTCTCAAACCATAAACCCCCAACTCGGATGATGGTGTCGAATTAGCCAATAATATCTCTATTCCTTTTCCCCCCTTTTATCCTAATTCAAAAGTTCATCATCTTTCTTTTTTCTGTCACATGATATTCTACATGCCCTCTCTCTCTCTGGCCGTCTGCCTACTTCTAAGAAGAATATATATAAGAAAAACTCTGGTTGTTCTCTCTGTGTTTGCAGGATGAATGGGTCGTCTGTAGAGTATTTCACAAGAACACAGGCGTCAAAAAAAGTCCAGTTTTCTTCTTAATTTTGAGTGCAAAAAAAATCGAAAAATCGATTCGCGGTTAACCGATTACATCCATTCGGTTTCAATTTAAATTTTTAAAAAATCGATCAAGTCGGTTTGGTTTGGTTAAAAAGAAACCCACGGTTCGGTTGAGCACCCCTACCTCGAATACCCTTCAACGTTGATAAATAAGGGATTTTGTTCTTGCATATCAAGTTAAATATGAAATGAAGCTCACCGTAAATAATTTTATTAGACAAGAACGAACAAAGAAAGAAAACATGGAAACCCAAAAGCCGGAAATAGGATTATGCTTGTTGCACAGAGGTTTTCTTTTTTTTTTTTCTGTTTTTGAAACAGCCCTTAGGCTAAATTCATTGCGCCAAATCTTCTTCTAGTACAAGAATAAGAAAGTTGGAAGATAAGGGCCAAGTAGTGATCCTATTACACACCTGACAAGCAACTTTTGCAATTACATGGACAGCCTTATTGCTTGTATGAGGGATAAAGGAGATTAAAACATAATGAAATTTTTGCAAAAGATTCTTGCAATCAGCAATAACTGTGTAAAACCGTCAAGGGACATCTGGAGAGGCATCCAACAGGATATCTAATATTTTTTGTGCATCTCCTTCAATGTGAATATGAGGGAGGTGGAGTTCCTTCACCATTTGGAGTCCAGCTCTGAAAGTTCGCGCTTCTTTAATGTCAGGATCTGTCCTTTCCATGCAAATGGCTACACCAAATACAAAACTTCCGGTATGATCTCTCAAGATAATGCCAAACCCAGAAAAAGAATCTACATTTGCACCATTGACATTAATCTTTAAGAATGGGTGAGAGGGAGGAGACCATCTACAATGGTTATTGATCATTTGGCTGTTTTGAGAATGATCCCCCCTCTTTTTTAGTGAAGCCAGCTCCTCTTTTGGTTGTTGCACAGAGGTTGTTATTTGAGAAAATAAAAAGATAAATTAATACATAATATATGTGGACTTCCTCTCTCTCTCTCCCCCTCATTCTTATTGTCCCTTTTCTCAACTCCCCACTTGTCCTTCTCTTATCTCCCATTGGCCTGATCGCCACCACTTCCCAGAGGGGGGGGGAGTGGGTTTATCGGCATTGTAGAGGAGAAAAAGAACAAAAGAAGGATTGTTCATTTTGTAGGTAGGAGCGATTTTTTTTTTACTATGATCATGTTGGATTTAATAACAAGAAAGACGTAGGAAGTAAGTTGAGGGACAGTTATTAAGAACCATAACCTTGGGGTAAAGTCTGTATACCATAGAAAGGTTCCTAAATCATATCCAAGATGATCAGGACCCACCTTTAAATAGATGTAACCCAATACCGGTCGACCTTACAATCAATAAAAGAAAAATATTTGGTACTTGCATGAATATATTGTTAGTTTTTCACATTCAACTTCTAAATTTAGATAGCTATATATTAATGCATAGTTGGATGGGAGCAAATAAGGAGAAGTTGGGACAGATGAACCACACGGTTTAAGATGAAAAGAAAGTTAAGGATCAAGGGTGGCCCAATGGAATAATTTACCATAAGTTTCTGAACTTCCTTGGAAGCATTCAATATTCCCAAGTCCCAACCCACTGAAAATCCCTAATCGTCATTTTCTTTTTTCTTTTTTTGTTTTTGTTTTTGTTTTTCTGATTTGGCACCATCTATTCCCCCCACTTTGAAGTATGCTCAATCCTTCTCAATCACAGACCTCAGATTCCCATAAGCTTCACAACTAGAGAAAGGGAGAGAGAGATTTTAAGATTACAGTAGTAGATCACATAAGAAGGTTATGTGATATCTCAATCCTTCTCAACCACTCCATTCTCCACCACCATCCCCACCCCTTTTCACTCCTGCAATATCTCTCCCTCCGAATCTTGCAGGATTATCAGTAGGGATCTTAACCCAAAAAAGTACTTCGGGTGTTCTACTGACGTGAGAAGGTTCATCAGCGACTCTGTGAACGGTGTTAGAACGGTGACTCTGTGAACTTGGGGACTCTGTGACTGGATGATGATTGGAGAGAGAGAGAGAGTTAGGAAGACAAGTGCAGACAGTTGATTGGTTTAAGATTTTATGGTTATGCTTTAATCTAATGCAGTTAAGTCCAATTCAAGGCTTCCATGTACTGTGACTAGACCATCTTGTGGATTAATTGTAGAAAAACCCCACTACAAGACTATAATTTTACTTCTTAAATAAAAAAAAAAAAATTGGGTAAATTACAAATAGGTACATTACTTTGGGGTATTAATATATAGGTATCGTGTACTTTCAATTGCAACACTTGAATATCCTGAACTCTAATCCGTTAGTATTCCGTCAGTTAAACATTACATAATGTCAAAACTATCCTTTTCGTTTCTAAGATCATTTCAAGTAACCAAACGTCTCCCCACATGACGTTCTCACATGAACATCAAATAACGGATTCAAATTTTTCCACGATGGCATTCTTTGGTGAATATTTTACTTCATAGAATGATCTAAAAAATATACAAGGGTATTTTTGACATTATGTAATGTTTAACTGATAGAATACTAATAGATGGACCCAAATGTCTATTTTTGAGAGTTCAGAGTACTCAAGTATTGCAATTAAAAGTTCAAGGTACCTATCTAACATTACCCCCAAAGTATAGGGTATTTATATGTAATTTACCCAAAAATATTTGGTAACTTAATGATTTGCCCGTTGCTAATTTCATTTTTGACACTCAGCATATAAAGAAATCTATTGTTACATTTTCATATTTTTCCAAAACAATTAATATGTTTTGATTAGCTCTAGTAAAGAGAGAAAAAAATGGTCGAAATAAAAATAAAGAATAGGATCAAGACATGGAATAGAAGTTGTTTCCTTATACTAGAAAAAAAGGAAACAGCTTTCCTTTTACTGAATTTTGAAGAAGGGTTATAAAACCGGACACCAATCAACTGTTGAAGCTCCCACTCCCCTATTCAACCTCCCTCGTTCAACGACCAACTGTAATTGGACGATCACCTATTCGGTTTCATAACTCTTCTTCCCCTTTCCTTCTTTTAATTCATACGGAATGGGTAAAATAGTCAGAAAAATATCATAAAGGGTAATTTTTCCATTTTGAAATTATTTAATGCATACCTGATGCCACATGACGGTGTTAAATGACAGTTAACTAACGGTAAGGATCTATTAGACAATTTGAAAGTTCAGGGTACAGTTAAGACGCATTTTAAAGTTCAGGGGCTGACTTGACACAACCCCAAAAGTTGAGGGTACTGTTCAGAAAATTTTCCATTTTATTTTCTTATTTTTTTCTAATTTTTCAAAATAAATAGTCCTCAATTACGTAAGCCCTCTTCCCTACTATTTTCCCTTATCTCTCCTTCCAACCGAATATTCCCTTCACCAACCCTCTTCTGGGCATACTTGATTGGTTCCTACCATGGTCGACCACCTATTGATTTTCACATCTAAAGCCTAAATTCTTTCGATTCCTAACCAGGTAGGAGCCTTCCCCTATGAACACCCAAAGCAGCTGGCTGCCGCTGGATCTTGTCCTAGCCTTCTTAGGCTTAGGGTGGCAGAGAAGGATTTGTCTGCACGGGGGGGTTGCATTCTAAATTTCTAATTCCACCTGTACATTAATGGTGCATGTGAAAGAAGGAGGATGCATCATGCATACCCCCAAAAGTGGCAATGGCATTAATATTTTTTTTTTCTTTTGGTAGTGTATGGAAAATGAGTCTTCAAGGCACCAGTAATAGTAATAAGTGGGGGTTTTGGTGTAGTGTTCATTGTAAGAATAAAGAACTCACCATGTTCTTGACCATTAACTGGTTAAAGTTTCATCCTTAGCATGCTAGAGCAGGAATCAGATACTGGTTCATTTGGAAACAAAGGAATATATATACAACGAAGTCACTATCAAAAGGAATATATATACATTAAAGAAGAAGAAGAGAAATATTATATATACACCAAGCAAGGGAAAAAAAACAAACACATGGCGTAGGCGTAGCATGTTCTCAAATTGCATACATCTTAGTATCATGGTCTGTTTCTGACAGCAAAGACATGGACCAGGACTGTGACCTGCCGAGCGACGACCTCCGAATGCTCCTTTGGTTTGAGGCCTTAATGCGGTGCATCACAACCCAAAAGGACATTGTTCCCAAGGTTGTAGCCAGAATTGTTGTCCCTATGATTGTCACCCCAATTGCCAACCATCTCTCATGTTCTCCAACCACTATAAATGTTAATGCCAAAAATGCAACTGAGACAAGGACGCACGCCAACCACATTAGCTTGTTGATAATTGCCATCATCTGCTTCTTTGCTTTACTCTCTATGACTACAACTGAAGTCTGCACCACTACAACAGCCAAAGATATGAAGAGCGCAACAGAATCAAAGAGAAAGAAGATCACGAATGGTGTCCTTTGAGAAATATTTGCTTCCCCAAGGGAGAGACCAGGGGGAATATTTTCAGGGTCATCAACATATTGTCCGGGGACAGTAAAGATGGCAGCAAAAGCAACTGTAGCAATGAGAACAGCAACCACTGTTGTGGAATTTATTGCATTGTTGAGACCATCTTCATGCATCTTGTTCAGCCGCCTGGCAATCCCTTGCACCCGCTTCCTTGTCTGGCGGGTGTGCTCCAGCTGGTCATGAACCTCATGCTTCAGGTCACTCACTGTTTGCTTCAGTTCTCGTGCTGGGTTCGTTGTCTCTGGTTTGATGGCCTTTGCACTCAGGACACCATACTCCTTGAGGAGGGTGACCAGTTCAGAGTTGGCAATCATTTCAGCTATGTCCAAGGCAGTTTCACCTGACCTGTTAATGACTTTGGTATCAATACCCTTATGATCTAGAAGCTTCTTTACAATCTGCACAAACAGTAGGAGTAAACATGAGTCATGAGCTATTCTCTTCTTTCAGCATCTAAGATGGATTATGTTTTAATTTAGTGCAAGCTTAAAAAATCACGGCTTCAACATACACACACAAGAGCTTCACATTCAAAATGGCATGTTTGAATATTATATAACTTTTGTGCCTCAGGTTAGGGTGCCAGAATGGTGGAAGTTCTAGGCGTTTACTGAACCAAGGAAACTAAGACGGAGGACCTATCAAGTATATCCATCCAAGACCCAACCAAGGAAATTAGCTATACCTAAAACTGACCAGATCATATGGGTATATTGTAACCATCAAATTTGTGATTCTTTTCTAGTAAATCATCATTAAGCACATGCAGTTTCTGCCACAAAGCTGAGCTGAACAGGATGAACAATTACGGTTCATTAGATTGAGTTTTCTTTTGTCTGAGTTGCTTTTCCCTGGCTTAGGAAAATTCTAACTGTACGATCATGTTCACATGTAGAAGAGCAGAGCAGGAAGAAAACCTTCTTCCCAGCCTAGATACTTGCCTCCCTTGTGTGTTTCCTTTTATGCATTAAGATATTTTTTTTTTCAAACCCTGTACAGAGGTATAAATAGGGGCTTCTCTGAGTCAAGTTGTCCGATTTTAGATACCAGCTTGCTTGGTAAACTTTGCTAATCTGGACATCACTGACCTGTATTTTCAGCACATCTTCTCTCCCCAACACATTAACCAAAAACCTGGTTGCCACCCCCTCAGCGTGAGTAAAGGGACAGAGCAAGAGAGGGCCTTCAACCAAGGAAAAGAGTTCTGTGTATACATACTCAATTCAAAATTAATTAACAATGGCATGACTTGCTAAATGTCGCAGTGACTTCAGAGCTAGGATCCATATTAGTAAGTTCATAATAGTAACCCTCCATCTTCTTGAAGTTACATTACTACCTTTTAGCCCCACCCATGAGCTGGGCGTAGAAAAAATTTTCAGACCCATTTACAAGACAAATTTGTTGCCCCTTCTTTTCATAATAGAAGCTGTATGTGGATCGAGAAATAGAAGCATTCTAACCTTATAGCATGTGAAAAAACATTAACTATTTCTGATGCAAATAATAATCAACCTTGTTGCATGTTACAGAAGTTGACAATTTGTGGAACACAACTCATTTAAATGAAGAGGAGACTGGAGATCAAAACCACATTTAACCATTGTGGAATGAAGCAGGAAGAAGCTAACACTTTAGACAAAAGACAGGGTAGTTTTGACTTTGGATTGACTCATACCAGGATGTGAAAATAATAATGTTCTTATCAGTAACAAGACAGTAATAAATAATCCATATGGTAAAACTTTTGGCTGAAAAGAGTGAGAATGTGAATTTGATTCTGATAGTGGCCACTTTGTGAAAAAAAAAATCCAAAGGTTAGGTCCATATCCAGTCAACCCCTCCCAAGATCCCAGATAATGAGGACCAACATTGGATGTAATTCGCATTTGCAATCTTAGCTTTATAAGAGAGTGTTACATGTATCTTTTTCTGAAAAGCATAATAGCCTATCATGCTGGGCTTGGAGTGGAAAGTTATAAGCTAGATGAGGGGTTGAACTAATTAGAAAACTAATTTATTTTCTTGGTTATAACACGCCTCAAGAGAACCAATATTGACTTGGTAAGTTTGATAAAGATTGTAAGAAAAAAGAGAATTTCCTTCTTTGTATATGGAAATCCTTCATGTTAATCATTGTCAAAAAGCATAATACAGATGCCTACCTTTTGAAACAATGTTAAATACAAAACTATTCACTTTTCTATTTAATTATTTATGATGTCATGGACATGATTCATCTGCACAAGGATCAGAATTATAGGCCTAGAACATAAATGCAATTCTAATTGAACTAACCAAGATTTGTTATATGTTCCTTGCAATAAGCTCAATCATAATAGTCATTGTAGAAGCTTCTTGAATGGTCAACACTCAATCTCATTACTGGCACAACATGATTCCAACCGGGGTAAAAGCTCTAGCATAGAGCCAAGCAAAAGACGGTGACATGGATAAGAAAATTTTGCAGTTTGAAGCATTACAGATAATTTATGCACTAGTTGACTAAAGGATAGTTGTAAGAATAAAACAAACTGAATATTACATGTAATGACCTTTCCTCCCAAGACTGAAGATAACTAGGACTAGCACTAGTAATGGCCTTATCCATGCATTATTTGGAAGAGAATTTAATTACAGGTAGAGGAATTTCAACCTCATGGTTGCATAGGTTGAAACAGAGTTTGGATCTGCTGACCACAACACACTGCTGGCCACACTCATCCAGCCGCACATTGAGAATATCTTCCTTATATGTGGCTGGGTGAATGGGCCAGCAATGTGTTGTGGTCAGCAGATCCGGACTTGTTGAATCAGGTCTCCACCTTTTGTAATATCCATATTATTATTAGAATCTTTTTCTTTGTTGAGAAACTGTTGTCATCTTTTCTTTATTCTATTTCTTGTTCCAAAATCTGGAAAGCATCCATCATTGGATCACCTTCCAAACAAGCAATAGTCTCTCATCTTATACAAAAAGGAATTACTTCTTGCTTAACTACAGAAGAAGATGAAGAGAAAGTAGTCCACCTTATCTCGACCCTTCCGGGTTGCTGTATGTAATGCTGTGTTGCCTTTAGTATCAACCATGTTGATCAAAGACGTATTTGAATTGATAAGCACCTCCACCACCTCAAGTTTCTGTCCCTTCACTGCCATGTGGAGTGCCGTCTGCCCCTTCTTATCATTCCGTGTCACCACAAATGGTTCTTTGCTTAGAATGGCCTTCACAACTTCCAAGTGCCCATTTCTTGCTGCAGAATGCAGGGCTGTTTTCCCATTGCTTCTAGCTATCGTGGCCAAGCTGCTTCCCTGCTCTAACAGGAAATTTACCACATCAATGTGGCCTTGTGCTGCGGCCGTATGCAATGCTGTAGTATTTGATAGATCCACTGTCATAGATAACTCTGGAAGGGCCTTCAGCAGCACCTTCAATACCTCTGCAACATGTTGAAGTAGCATGTTTAACACCCAATGACAGAAATCGATACAAGAAGTAGAAACAGAGAGTTCTTTAGAGGCATACCCAAGTCCCCTTGTCTGGCAGCAATGTGGAAGGCATCATAGCCATTCTTTGCTTTGATGCTGGCAGATACAATATCATAGTACTTGATTATCTCCTCAACTACATCAACAAAACCATATTCAGCAGCAACATACAGGGCTGTTTCTCCCGATTGATTCTGCTTTATCAATAATTCCTTCAACTCTTCATCTTTGGCTCCAGAGAGTATTTCTTTAGCCACTTCTAGTCGTCCCCCTCTTGCAGCAGTGTGTAGGGGGGTGTCATTGCGTTTCCCTGTCAATTGCTTTGTCATCTTCTTCCGTCGAGCAGTTGTCTGGCTAGAAGACTCCATGTGTCCAGTTGCAGAAAAGCTCTTCCTTTTGCTAACTTGATCTATAAGCCAAAATCTATTCTTCAAGGGTAGTCCCAGATCAATAGGAACTCTTTACTAATCTGGAGCAACTAAAAAGTGACCTCATGAGAAACCTCTGGTTTTATTCTGTTTCCTATATTTATCGTCTTATTCGGACATCTCCTGCATCCCAAATCAACGCCCTGTTCAGAGTAACACCCAGGATATTAATTGTTTGGAATGAATTCCCACTTGGGTTTCTTCCGATTATCTTCACCAACTCCATCATCATTACCACACCATTATCATTATCACACAAGCACAACAAAAAAAAAAGATACAACTACATTGAAAAAGAGCTCTGGCTCCCAAACTGAAATGTCAGCATCCATTCTATAAACATAAAAAGGAAGATGGGTATTTGGCTTTTGTCCTACCCATTAAAAATCAAAAGAAAAAAAAATAGAACATAGCGAAAAATAAAAGAAAGAAGGCAAATAACAAAATCAATAATATCACCTGTTCTTTTGAAGAACAGAGCTCCTTCTTCTGCCGTCCTTAGCCAATGCCCATTAAAAGCTGAACAAACGATTTATAAGAACAGGTCCTAGAGAATAATGGGATCGTCAAGCCAAAGCCAAATACAACTCAAAGAATAAAAAAGAAAATCCAACTTTCTACCTGTCATTCACTTAACAGGGCGGAGGAGAAGAGCGAGGCATGAAACAGACATGTATGAAGATGTTTATATATTGGTTGTGAATGTAAACCATACTCGGAGCTCTTAAAGATGCAATAAAGGAGAACCTTTTGTAAAGCCGGTGACGACGACATTGGCTGAGCCTGAGAGATAAGAAATAAAGAAAAAGGGAAAACGAAAAGAAAAAACAGTAAAAAACTAAAAAGAAAAGCAAAACCAGGGATGAATGGTTGGCTATTTTACAGCAACAGGCCGTTTCTCTTCCATGCAATAAAATACAGTCAATGATATCCAATTAATAACAATAACAATAATAGAAAATTGAAATAAGGCGATAGATAGATACAGTTCTAATTTTAGTGCCCCTTGGCCCACAAGCGTACTGATTAACTATTCTGAGACAGCTGATCATCAATCCACCAGCAATTGCGCCTCAGTCTGGAAAGAAGGGTTCAGGTTCAGCCGTTCAGGGCCCAGCTAGAGATGACCATCTGATCGATCTGATGGAAATTAATTTAATCACTCATCAGCCAATCCGGATGATGGGCTCACTCACAGTCACAGAGTCACAGTTACTGGCGGTTGGTTGGTAGTGACCCCACTAGTAATATCTAACGTGACAGACAACACCAAATGCCTTTTCCTTCTTCCATCAATGACGACTTTTTTAGAGTTCAGAGGATCTTTAAAGTGAGGGATGGGTGTGTTTGTGAAAGGGATGCCGTTGACCCAGGGACAAACGTGGGGCCAAGATGCATACGTGGGCCCGATTTAACAAAAAGGGTCGGGGCGGTCGGCGTTACATGGTGTTTGGAAGTGTAGGTGTTTTTTGGGATAGATTTTCAAGAAAAAATGTCTACGATTTCAAGACTTGTTTTTCACAAAAAAACATTTCTATCACCTTAGGCAATGAATCACCGTTTTTCATATATATATTGATAGGTAAACACTACATAGATATACATTAGTCAACCATTAAGGAAAATGATTCATCAAATTTGATGTTTTTTTGAAACATACTCAATTTTTTAATAATCAACTTAACCGAGATATATGGACACTTGTTGAAACGCCTAGGCACCCGTTTTTTGAAAAACGGCCACCCTTAATTTTCAGTCCGGATATTGGTTGATCCGGGAGGGACACAGGACTAAAAGACAGGTGGACAGGCGTGGGACCCATAATTTGCCGGTTGTCCAATTAAAGTCCGGCATGTAATGAGCAAGCCGTGCATGCATTATGTGCCGTGCCAACTGCCAAGCAGACGAAGATCTCGTCAGTATGGAGTATGGATCATCAGATGGGTGGGGACGCCTGGGACAGTGGGACCCTCTCTCTTGATAATGGCCGATATCATCATCTCATTCTCATCAGAATTCAGACAGCAGCTCCTGCGACTACAGATTACAGAGCAGATAAGGCATTTTCACTCATCGTTTATTACCAAAATGCCCTCAAGAGTGGCCAATCCAATCAAGACTTCATGAGGAGGATGCGTGAGCGTGATTTGGAAACATCGGAATTCTCTTTAGTTTACAAGTTACGAGACAATGGAATTGTAAATGATGGAGATGATTCACAAACAATGATGAATGGAATTAGAAAAACAAGACAGACATAGAAAAAGGGTGAATTGTGGATGTAGATATTATTATATTAAAATGGATGGGGTGGAATATATTTGATCGAATCTTAATATTTTCTAATGAACTGTTTTAATTAAAAAAGAAAATTTATAAGCCAAGATGCATTGTTAAAACTTGAAAGGGGATTTCAATTATCAATAAGACCAGACTTACCACGACAATATCGGGAATCATCCACCACACGTCTGCTCACGTGTAATGCGAAATAAGTGGTCCCACGTTCTCAGCCTAGGAGAACATTATCCTGGCTCTAGTGGATGGCACAGGCATATGTTAAGGCCTAAGGGCATAAGTTTTTTAATTGAATAAATTGTTAAAACCTCCCATATGAAGTTTATTATCGTTGCTGAAATCTATCTCGATTCTTGAATTTTAATAATTGCAATTACCTAAGTAAATCCCTCTGTTACATTTCTCTAACCAGAAAATGTTTAAAATATTTGTAAACTAATTTTGATCAAAATGTCTAATTTTCAATTTTTTTCACTTCATACAAGTCCCCTTACCCCGAGCCTTTTTAATTTTCTTTTTTCAAAATTGGTTTATTTTTTAAATTTACCCTTCATAGCAATCCTGCCTCCAAACCTTTTCAATCTCTTTTTTCAAATTGATTTATTTTTCAAATTTACCCTGCATATCAGTCATTTAAAGGTAAAGCTGCAATTTTAAACTCTTATTTATTATTTATAAAGTGTCTATTTTTTTTCTATAAAAATCAGTCTCAATAATAATTGCAATGATATTTTGAACATTTTCATACCTCTTGTGAAAGGATTATAACAAAGGGGATATGCTATCAACTGTGCTAGAAAATTCAGTGGAGGTAATTGTGATTACTAAACTTCAAAGGAAATTTCAGCAACGATCATAAACCTCATGGGAGGTTTTAGCAATTTACCCTTTTTAAAAAGGAAAAATGGAAAATCTATAATGCCCAGAAAGACAAAATACCTAAGAAGAGCTTTCACCAATCAAAACCTCCCCCAAGTACCACATGATTGGTTGTTACTTTTATTAATTAATGCTTTAAGCATGAAATTGAAATTGTTGGAGTTTGATTTTTTTTTTTTTTGACTGTTGACTTTACAAATGAAAGAGTGCGTATCCTCCTAAATCCCGATCACCATTATTTGTTTAGTTTAGTTGCTCAAGATTCTACTCTACCCTAGAGAAGAAGAGTTTTCTATATAAGTGACATTAGAATCAGTCTTAAATTTGAATTTTCAATAAAGTCAAGGAGAGCAGATGCAGTGCCAAAACTTTGAACGAACGTTTTCATTGCAGAAAGCTTCAACAATCAGAAGAAAAAATACAAAAATATGGGAAGAAGAAAGGGGAGAAAGGGCCAAAGGGGAAAACAATAGGTAGCTGGAGACAGTAAAAAATGAGATAGCTTCAATATAATCTACTCCTGTCCTATGTAGTTCTTCCATTCCTTTACCCCCATTTTCATGTCATTCTCCCTCTAATCCCCATTTCTTAAAATGGAGTCATTTGACCAGGATCATCCAATTGAAGATTCAAGCTATATGGTCAATATGCTAAGCAGCAGCATTGAGTATAAGGCTTTAATCGCAGGCTGAGAGGAAATTTTGATTAATTGCAAAATATAGACATTTGAGGAAGAACAAAAATGATGGTACCTAGTGGCCTGGGGAACCCCTCAACCCCAAATTTCATTTCTAATCTACTTCAATAAATCCCTCAATTCTGTGAACGAAAAAGATGGTAACGAGACAAAGGATCTGAATACAGGCAAGTGGAGACAAGGCTAGCTAGTCGTCTCTTGGTCTTATCTTAATTTTTAATCACGAGAGAAGACACAACCTCTAGATTTGATAGGGATACACTGACAATTTTGACTGCATGCATGTATAAAATTAACGAATCTGTCTCATGTCTCAATACTGGTACACTGGATCTAACCTAGAAAATATCTATTATTCTAAGCATTTGCAACCTAAACTGCATTCTGCAATCTGGTAAGTTGAGGAACCATGGCCAATATCACATATGTTAAATCAACTCAAACCACTGATGTATACAAAACCCTATTATGACAGAAATGTCTTAATTAACTAATCAAATTGCTCACTTAGTTCTTTTGAAACAAAACTAGGTCATATTCTTTTTATTACGAATACAGGTCTAAGCAATAATTCTTTAGCTCTGTGATCTAGAGTCTGCACCCTCAATGCCTTGAACGTATTTGGTTGCTTTTCACTTTTCCTCCAGGAGTTCTATATTCCTCCAGTATAGAAGTCGCTTCACTACAAATTAAAACCAGAGAGAATTATATTCATGCAAAGAAGAATGCTCCCAAAATTTTGTATGCCCTGCTCCTTAATTTTTGGAAACATTCCTTAAGACATAAATCCATCAATATCCTGCACAAAAAGTGAATCCCTCTCTGAATGGATCTGAAGAAATGGTTGACCTGCACTTTCCTCTCTCTAGCTGTATCTCTTTCCTCCTCATTTTGCGGTTTGAGATGGGGGCGTTGCTTCATACTTTCCATCTAAAACCCAACAAGGAACAACTTGGTTGTTTGTGGTGGGAGAAGATATGACTATGAGAGACTGATAAAATTAATGGGTTCTTTGCTAAACTACCGAGAAAGGTTATTTTATCCTTCCCCATCTACAAACTGATCCAATCTATAATTATTGCCCTTCTGTTTGTTGTCTTATTATTCACGGGCAAAATTAGTTTTTTTTTTAAATACTTAAACAATCACATGATTATTTTCTTATTTTTTTAAGGTGAAAGTCATATTTCATTCAATTTAAGAAACTTGTATGAATAGAGAAGTAAAAACAGTACCAAGGAAGTTGGAAAGAACGAAATAAACACAGTGGATAAAGTAGGAAAAAAAAAAGAAATTTTATAACCAACATAGGATGAGACAGAATCACCAACACAAGAAACAATGCAAAGGTAAAGACAGAGAGTTCGAAAAGGCATAACAGGTGAAAAGCAACGGCCACCAAGGAACTGCTACTGGCACCAAGAAATTGGAATCACCCAGAACCGTAACCGCTGTAACGGTAATCGTCAGAACTGTAACCACCCGTAACTGTAACTGCTGAAACTGTGAACCACCCGGAACTGTAACCACCCGCAACCGTGAACATTGGTGAAATATAGTTGGGAAACAGCCACCAAAGGTGAAAACCAAAGTAGCAATGATGGCCACCGCCCAACACCAGAAGAACGGAGAAGAGAGGGAGAGAGGGAAGAAAAGACAGGGGAGAGGGGTAACTCCCCGAAGGGAGTCACCCCAAAATCGACCAGTGACGGAAGAAGGACGACAGAGGGTGGACGATGAGAAGAAACCCCAAGAAGGAAACTCTCTCAGAGCAGAGAGAGAGAGGAAATCTCTGTAAACCCATCACATGATTAATTTTCCGTTACATTAAAAATGGTAGTTTGACATAACAAGTTTAATTGGTCCTATTTTGTAATGTCAATGAGAGGTTATAGTACCGTAGAAAGTTTTGAGTCCGGATCTCCTACCCATAAGAACTCTGTTCATGTTTACCCACATAATATCACAGTCACACATGGAGAACATCTCATCCTCCTACACAGGAGATGTCCCAATGCTTAGAGGTAGTGTGGATTTTGGATCTTCTGTCCACGAGAACTCTGTCCACGCCTACCTACAATACACTACCCCTGTGAATTGAAAACATCTTCCCCTGCATAATAATACACAGAGGATGAGATGTTCTCCATGTGTGGTTGCGATAAACGTGGGTAGAATTCTCGTGGGCAGGAGATCCGAACTTGGTAGTGTGTTATGGATAGACATGGATAAAATTCTTGTGGACAGGAGATCCGGAGTCAGAAAGTTTAAGTAATTGTTAAAAAATCGAAGTATATTAAATAATTTTCCCTCATTCGAGACATTAATATCAGACATTACAATAAGAGTCTCATTAAGTCATTATGGTCTATACCATTGCCATGGAATAGGACAGCTTCACATCCTAGTACAGTGTGAATTGTGGCATTCATATCAATGATTTACGCTTTCAATTAGAGAATGCAGAACATGTAATTTTGTATCACTAGGCCCTCTTTGTATTCAACCTATGCCTAACTACTTCAAAAGTAGTTTTTAGACAACCAATAGCCTTTTTTCAAGCCAGATTACGAAATAACCCTTTTTATTGTTTATACTTTATAGAAATTCCTTATCAGTACTTTGGTTTGTGTGACAATTTGATCCCCAAATTTTAAAATGCAATAATTCAATACCCGAACTTTTAAAATATGATAATCTAGTATCCGGACTTTCAAAATGTGATAATCCAGTACCTGTTATTAATCAGCCATTAAGTGACATTTGAAAAGTTAAAAATGCCCTGAGAATGTTTGGATGGTTGATAAAGAGAATTAGATGGCATTCGAAGGGCATTTTTTACTTTTCAAATGTCACTTAACGGCTGATTAATGGACTGGTTAACATCAGGTATTGGATCATCACATTTTAAAAGTTCGAGTACTGAATTGTCGCATTTTAAAGTTCGGGGATCAAATTGTCACTCAAGCCAAAGTACAGGGTACTGATCGGGAATTTTCCTAAATATAAAATAATTCCTTTTTTTCTTTAGTTCTCCGTTTTTGTACTTTTACAAGGCTAAATTTCCCTTCTTTTATTTTCATTTTTAACCCTATTTTATTTATTTACTCATTACTTATTTATTTACAAGGCTAACTTTCCCTCCATTTTCTAACCGGCATCCCATTAAGAACTAACGAAAAAAGTGAAATATTGAATTTGTCCTTCCTTATTTTTCAAAATTACAAAATAAAATCCAACTGATAAAGTGCAGCCAGTAAAATGACAACACCGCCGACGAAAGTTATTTTTGCATCAACAGTAATGCCTAATGCCTATCGGAAAGAATGGCGGCCATTAAAGTTTTCCCCTGTCTTACTGGAATACGCCTCCTGTATTAGATGAAGTATTTGTTAATAGAATTAAGCCCTTCTTAGAAGACATCATTTCCCCTTTCCAGAGTGCCTTCATCCTGGGTAGACAAATCACTGACAATGTTCTGATTGCCCATGAAATTCTCCATTCTATGAAGAATAAGAAAGGTAATACCGGGGCTATGGCTTGTAAGATTGATGTGGAGAAAGCTTATAATAGACTTGATTATAGTTTTATTGAGGCTATCCTTAGGAGATATGGTTTCCACCCCAAGTGGATAGGTTGGTGGTTGGAGTGTTTTAAGTCGGCTTCGTATAAAATCCTGATTAATGGTGTTCCCACCAAAGAACTCATTCCCTCTCGTGGTATTAGACAAAGAGATCCTTTCTCTCCTTATCTTTTTGCGCTTTGTATTGAAGCGTTAACTAGGAAGTTGCACGAAGCTTCTCATAGTCAAAGGGATCTTATTGGGTGTAAAGCCTCAAGATATGGCTCGTGCACCCCGATCCTTCAATTTGCAATGATTGCCTAATCTTTGCAAAAGCCAATATTCAAGCTTGCCTAATTATCAAGGATAGTTTGGATAATTTTGCAAAGGCCTCTAGCCGGGCTCCTAACTTCTCTAAGTCAAGCATCATCATTTCAAAGAATATTCATCCAATGTTACAAAAAATCCTGCCTAGAATATTGAAAGTCCCACTTGGCAATAAGAATGAGCTTTATTTAGGAGCCCTTGTCTTCTCTAACAACTATTGTAAGAAAACCTTTAATTTCCTTAATGAAAAGATTGAGAAAAGACTTGCTAAGTGGAAAAGAAACACTTTGTCCCTTGCAAGAAAGATCACTCTCCTCAAATCTTTGACAAGTATGATCCCCCAATATATCATGAGGGCATTCAGAATCCCCAAAAATTCCTTAGAGGAGATGGACAGGAAACAAAGAGAGTTTCTCTGGAAAAATAACAATGGTAGGAAACCTATTCATCTAGTTAGCTAGAACAGAGTTTGCACTTCAAAACAATGGAGAAGTATGGGACTAAGGAATCTTTGGTGGACAAACCAAGCCAATTTGGCCAAACTTGGCTGGAGAATTTTGAATGAAGAGGATAATCTCTAGGTCTAGGTTGTAAGATAGAAATACCTAAAGAAGACGGAATTTTGGGACCTAGACAACAAGAAATGTTATTCTTGGGCTTGGAAAGGTATTCTTTCAGCTAGAGCCCTTATTAAACGTGGTATTGGTGTTACCATTGGTGATGGTAATACTACCATATTCTAGCTGGATAACTGGGTTGAGGGGGGTCCCCTTGTTAATGAAGTTAATAAAGATACCATTACTGATATTAATCTCAAAGTTAGTGAGGTAATTGACAAGAAAAGGCTCATATGGGATAAAACAAAAATCTGCAGTTTGGTCCCTATTTCATCTTGGAATAAAATTAAGGCAATTTTTATGCCGACTAGGGATGCTGGGGACAAACAAATTTGGAGACCCAACCCGAAGGGCAGTTTTTCCATTAAATCAGCCTACAATGAAGCTTGCATTATGAATGACAACATCCCCGGAAATTGAAGTGATTCAAAAAAAGTATGGGGTATGAATACCCCTCTAAAGTACAAATATTTCTTATTTTTACTTTTCAACCTAAAGTTGTCAACAAAGAAAATGCTAATTATGAGAGGGATAAACATTGATGGATCCTGTATGATGTGTGGAGAGGAAGAAGACACGGATCACATTTTTATAAATTGCCCTATTAATAAGCAAGTATGGAATATTGCTAAAGACTCATTCCGGATTCCCAATGACTTCTGCAATAATATTTGCGAATGGTGGAACTTCATTTCGAGTAATAACGGAATGGATCCAAGTGGCGCCTATAGCAAGGAGAAATTTGTTCTCCTCCTCTAGCAAATTTGGAAGAATCATAATGAATGTGCTTTCAATAATTGGAGTTTGCCTCCTTATATTAACATTGAAAAGGCGTCTAATACGTTCTTGGAGATCCAAGGGGTGAATGAGGGAGATGAAAGTTGTTTGAGAAAGAAGGATGTCCCTATTAGATGAAAGAGCCTTGATTTCGAGGCTATTAAAATTAATTTTGCTTGTATTGCCAGGGACCACCTCGGTCATATTCTGGATCTCAAGGCCTACAAACTAAGTAAAACTATAGTTAATGTAGATAAAGTGTAGGCTATGTGGGAGGCCCACAATCTTAATCTTAACTTTTCTAACAGGTACATCATCACCAAAGGAGATTCAAAGCTAGTTATTGATTGTCTGAAAAGGAGTTACAATCCCCCATGGAGAGTGCGGCCAATTATTGAAGATTGCAACACTCTAAGAGAAAGAGTAGAGGGAACGATTAAGTATCAACACATCAGCAGAGAAGGAAATATTGTTGCAGACTGTCTAGCTAAATATGCACACACCAACAAAATTTCTCTGAACTCCATTCCTATTCCTCTTAATGTATTTGCTTGTTTTGATTTCTGGGGACGTGCTACCCCCCATTCTATGTAGCCCCATTCTGGTTTTATCAAAAAAAAGTATTGTCTCGTCCTTTTACTCCTCCCATATCTTCTGAGTTTCCATAGCTTAAGAGCATCTTTTTTCAACTCCTCCAACTAGGTTTTGGCAATTTTAAGTTCTAATTGTTCGCCATACTTTAGCAAATCTTCCCTCCAAATGCCAAGCTTCTTATTGATTTTATCAAATTCGACCATAAGAAGAGAGTTCACATCTCCGCCCCACAACGCCCCACATCACATCCCTGTCGTGTATTGGGAACATCTCCCAATGATGACATCATCGGGACTGGTACTATCATCAGGAGATGTTCCCAATACACGGCGGGGGTGTGCTGTGGGGCGGAGATGTGAATCCATAAGAAGAGCCATTCCCTTTTTGTCAGACCTCAGGAGTAGCTTCTAGAGCCTCTGCACCAAGTCATCAGTGAGGCGATTGGTATCTCCTTCAATGTCAACAGATATATTAGAGCATCTCGAATACCTTGTGTGTATCTGAATAGTGTACTGAATCCGTTGGGACTCTGAGAACAAGTCTACCTTTTCTTTCAGTCTTCATGACCTTTGCATACTGAACAACTTCAACTGGATCATCTGGATCTATTCTAATCTTCTCCTTCCAAAGTACACCCAAGGCTGCATTAAATTTCTTCTTAACCTCCAAGAAGATGTTCTTCAACATCTCATCTCCCTTGAGGACTGGAATCTGGAGGTGCTGTTGGTGCTGCTTGTTTGGCAAAGAAGCAAGCTGGAACAACATGCTGCTATAGCGAACAGCCTCTATACCCAACAATACCAGAACACCTGAGAGAAGAAAGAATCCTCTGCTCCCTCTGCAAGAACTCAGACCGCAAGAGCTCGACGGACTTAACAACAAAGATCTCTGTCTCCCCAGGCTGAATAGCTGTAGCAAGAGAGACCGTGGGCGACGACCCAAACCGGTCAAACATTCAAAGATGTGGAGGTCTCTGCTCGGTGCATGGGCATGAAATTGTCCGAAGTCGCTTCCTTTTTGTTCCTATTCAGGCAATCCTATCCAGATTGTTCCTGTGCGAACTTCATGGGCTGATGTTGCCGAATCTGCAACCGAGAAGCCAGCTATTGGTTCTTCTGCTAGTACTGGTGTTGGTAGCATTTCACGGCTTGCTAGATCTTCTTATGTGCCTCCACAATACAAATTATACAAGGAAGGTTGGAGAGTGGGGATCCACATCCACTAGTATAATACGGTACTATTTTCTGAGAAAGGACTTTGATCGAAAAAGGATGAAGTGATAGTGGAAGAAAAGTGTTGGTGGAAGGAGTTGGACATCGAACACTGGCATGAAGGTAGAAGAGGAGAAAGAAAGTCAGTTATCCACCGATGCCATGTCCAATACTGTTAAAGGATTAAAGTATCGATATTGGGTATCATATCGGAGAATTAAGATACGGATACGGATATGCTTGGGAAACACATGGATACAAACGAAAAAACATGGAAACGCTTGGATAAGCTAAGAAAATGCACACAAATTCCATAAATATATTAATAGCATAGTATAATGTCAAAACAACTATAAATAATATATAAATATATAGGAATTGTATATTTAAATGATATATATATATAAAGAAATATATTATAATTAATATAACAGGACATGTAGATATTATACAATTTTATAATAATGCTTCAACTAAGGTTCCAAGGAAAATATTATATAGATTTTTACAAATTAATACATTAAAATACCAATATTATTTTATTATCTATTAAAGTGTAAGGCATAAAGCATATGCAACTATTATATTTGATTATTATATCATTTTTCTATTTTACTAATTTTATTTTTTAACATTAACAAAAAAGTCAACTAAAAATATATAACAAAAAATTATTGATAAATAATATTTATATTTTTGTAAACAATAAATATTCTATTATAAAATGTAAATTAAAATACCAATTAATAATTTATAAAAATATATAATATTAACTTAAAACATATCAAATCTATTAAAATTTTGAAAATGCATATCACAAGAAAATTCATAAATTTTAATTACTAAAATAACTATTCCATTATTAATATTTTGTTTTTATAAAATTTCAAAGTTAAAAATTATTTTTTTATATAAAATGTAGATTAGTGGATTTGATAGATACAACTTATATTATATTTTCAAATACTTTGTAAACAATACTTTTATTTTTGTAAATAATGAATGCACTGCTATTTAAGGCAAATTAAAATATTAATTAATAATTCATAAAAATTTAAGATATATATACTATATGCAAATTTATAAAATTTAAGTATTTTATTATGAAAATTTTATTTGTATAAATTTTTAAAATTAAAATTCATTTTTGATATATATTTATATGGATTTTATAAACTATTTATTCCGTTGATTTATAAAATACTAATTTTGAATATTATTCTTTTCAATTTATAGTTAAAGTTTTTGAAAATAAATGTATGTTGTTTTTTATTTGCATGTAAACATTAAGTTCAATAAAAGTTATTTTATTACATGTATTAACATGTAAATTTAGGCTCAGTTTGGAAGGAGTACAAATACAAACATGTAGAGTGCAAAATCTTGTATTTTGTATTATTTTCCATGTATTTGAGAGTACAAATACAAATATGTACTATGCAAATACATGTAAAGTAATATAAAATAAAAGGTTTTGTGCTCTACATATTTGTATTTGTACTCCTTCCAAATGGAGGCTAATATGTAGAAGTGCAAAGACATATAAAATAATACAAAATATAAGGTTTTGCACTTTTCATATTTGCATTTGTACTCTTTCCAAGGCTCAGTTTGGAAGGAATACAAATGCAAATATGTAGAGTGCAAAGCCTTATATTTTGTATGTATGTATTTACGCCGTACATATTTACACTTGTACTCTTTCCAAACTGAGCCTTGGAAACAAGGAAAATTAATGCAAACAGTTTCTTGGTTTATCCTTCGTGGACAGAGAGAACTAAAATTATACCTTCATGCTAATTTTATCAAAAAAAAAATGAAATAAGGAACCCTAAGGTTCCGATTGCTTTATATACAGGGGAAATGGATTTAACCAACCACATCCCGGAGGTGAAAAAGAGAAGAAAAGATAAAAAAAAAAAAAAGAAGAATAAAGACGAGAAGAAAAAACTGTCAAACAACAATTGAATGACTTGCTTCGGTGACTGAAAACGTTTACCACTCCAGGAATCCCTTGAAGGCTTCATGCAGAATTGCAGAATTTACCTCCTATGTCCTCTACCACAAAGTCACATGGCAAGGCTCATATCTTTATGGCTTCATCCTGATTCCCCAGAGATAAAAGTTAATATATACAGTGAACTGTGCAACAGAAACTTTTTCTTCTTGTTGTTGATGTTAAGTACGAAAAGGGCAAATACAGCGCCGTTGGGCATTCCTTCCTCACACTAGATAGCATAAATAGGGTTCACTTCCGAATCAGAAAACTCCGAATGATGCCACGAGAAGGACCCACTCTTTCTGCAAGACTTCTCCTTCTTCCTGATTTTTCGAGTCCGTTTGGACTTAACTACATAGTAAGTCATGGTGCCAAGAACTCCTACCATTATGACTCCTCCTATAGCTGTAACCAGAATGGATGCCCACCGGTTATGCCTACCTACTACTATATAAGATGAAGCAATAAATGAAATAGAGGTGCACACAGATGCCAACCACATCAGCTTGTTGATCACCTCCACAACCCGCCTCTCTGCTTTTGCCTCCCCTCTAACCACCGTGATCTGTACAACCACCACCGCCAGGGATGTGAAAAGTGCAACAGCATTAAATAATAAGAAGATCTTGAAAGATGTATGGCTCACAACCACCGCCATCCCACTATCATAGCTTCCACCAGGTACAGTGAAGATAGCTGCAAAAGCCACTGTAGCAAAGAGAACAGCAACTACTGTTACAGAGTTGGTAGCATTGTTAATCGCTTGCCTATGCAGTCTCCGAAGCTCCTTAGCAATCCCGTGGACGTTCTTGTTGGTTTTCCTCGCTTGTTCAAGCTGGGAATGGACTTCTTTCTTGATCTCCGTCACAGTCTGCCTCAATTCATCCCTTGGTAGGTTAAGTTCATCAGCCCTGACTGCTCCAAAGCGGGCCAATAACTCCTTTATCTCTGAGGACTCTTCAGAAAGAGGAAGTCCTTCTACTATGTCAAAGGCTGTTTTGTGGTCTCGGGTCAGTGCATTGACATTAGTGTCATGAAGGAGCAATAGCTCACCTACTATCTGCAAAAGAAAATAGGTAAAAGCCTCATTAAATTTGTACCTTTTAAGAACCTTTCTTTGTCAAAAAATAAAGAAGTTAGGTCCATGATTTGCTTTCCAAGAGGGAGTTATCATTTCTTTCAGTACAGAGAAATACACCATCCAAGTCAAACATTGTAAGATCATAGTTGGGTTGCCAAATACTCAATACAACAATGATGATGATATAAGAACAACAGAATGGTATACGTAGAATGAAACATAGCCAACTGACAGCAGCTAGAAGCGTGAAAACATAGAGAAATCCCCTAGCTACCATTTTTGCATCTTCCTATCCCTTCTTTTCTAATCAGTAATATATAAATTATAGTAAATACCTATAAAAAAAATATGTAAAAATTATTGTAAATGATATAATGAAGTCAAGAACAGATATAAAGGAAGAAAATGCAGAGGTATTAAAACTGAATAACCAATGGCATACTAGTTATCATACAAACAACAGTTGCAGAATCTCCTAAATCCCAATGGTGGAAGGTCCTGTATATATGAAATAACCCAAAAAATAAAGGTGAAAAAATTTGAAGTCTAGGTTAAGTACATTACTTTCACCTCTGGTACAGATGAAAGGTTACATCATAGTAGTAGAAGAGTTATTGCTGGTATGTATTCTATGATGGTGTATTGGTTATAAGTTTATTCTGAATTTGAAATATTTTTCTGTTAGTTTTTTATTATTGTTCAATCTTATATCTGAACTCATTAGTGTTCTTATTGTATTTTTGGTAATTGTATTTCCTCTTTCTTTTCAAGGTGAAATCTCTTCACCTTCTTTTCTATCATTGATTTTCTATTAATGAAATTGAAGTAGATAGGAGAAAGTCATACAAATCGGCTTGATGCAGGATCAGCTTCTCTGATGTCAATATGATGCAAGAGGGACTTGTAAGAAAAGAGAGAAAATAAAATAACCCAGGAATTAGCACATAGGCTCCTCTAGGAATTATCACTGATAGGAACCACTGGGAATCAACACTATAAAGAAAATTAAAATTACCCCAACATTAGAAGTAGAAAACTTAAACTTTATCATCTGGTATCAAGATGAGGGGGGCTTACATATATATATATATATATATATATATATATTATCGATAACAGAAATCTTTATTAATGAGTAATACTTGTGAAAATTAATTACAGAAAATGGGGAGGTAAACTATCTTAACTCCCCAACATCAAAATGACAATAAAATACTAAGAATGTGCCCAAAACAAAGAATCCTTAGCCACCCCTTGCTTAGCTAACCCATCAGCCATTGAGTTGGCACTTCTCTTCACCCAGATGTATTGCACCTCTAAGTCCTTACACAGCCAATTAAWTTTTTTCTTCTCATTGCTGTAGCTCCAMAAGCCACTGATATCTCCTTTCAGCCACCTAATCACCACCTTCGAGTCCCCCTCAATCACTAAGCATCTGATGCTTAACTCTCTTGCTCTTTGGATTCCTTCGAGAACTGCTAGAATTTCGGCCCTAAGAGAGTCACCCTCTCCAAATGGCCCAGAGAACATGGCAGTAATATACCCCTCCTCATTCCTGAAAACACCCCCTATCCCAGAAGGCCCCGGATTCCTTAAGCTACATCCATCAAAATTCAGTTTTATGAATCCGGCAGGAGGAGTCCAAGTGGGACTACAGTTTCCTACTCTATTTATAAGCAAAGAGGGGGAAGTCACCCTTTTCCCTTGTTTCCTACTCTAAAACAACTAATAAACACTACTAATACACTAATTAGAAACAAGGCATATCCTAATTACCAAAATACTAGGAGTTTGAGTTCAGACAAATCTATACTATACTAAAATGCAGTTATCCACGTCAGATTCCTCATATTGCTTCCCAACCCTTTTAGAATTTTATGTTTTTTTTATTTTTAAATAAAAATTAAATATAGGGCTATTTTAGCTCACCCACAACCAATTCATTTAAGAAATTGAGTGTAATATAGTGGGGATTTGGTGGAAGAAAGGAATAGGAGTAGGAAGGTGTGGGAAATCATTGAAAAAATAACTAGTGAAGTTGAACAAAATGTGTTATGAAGGATATAAATGGGAAAGAGGGAAAGATTCTGATGAGGGGAGAGTAAGGGATGAGAGGGTGAGTGGACTGGAAGAATTGAAGAGGAAAGTGGAGGATTTTCTAATAGAGAGGACTCTATAGCAGAATTTGTGGGAAAATTAAGGTGTAAAATGAAAATTTTGAATGATTTGAAAGTTGCCTTACAGAAGGAGGAGTGCAAAATAAAGAAGAGGAAATTGAGTGAAGTCGGGTGGTTGAAAAGAGATGTGGAAGATGACAAAAAGTTTGGTGTAAAAGGAGAAAGAAGGAAAGGGGGGAAGTAGAGGTTAGGTGTAGGAGGGAGATAAGTAAGAAGTGAATATGAAGATTCTTAAATGGAATATGAGGGGTTTAGGAAGCGCAAGGAAAAGAGCAACAATTAAAGAAGTGATCAAGAGGTTTGACCCAGACATAGTGCTAATCCAGGAGTCCAAAAGAATTGAGTTTGACAGCAGATGAGCTAAGAGTGTTTAGAGAGCCAGGGGGATCAATTGGGCGGCTGCTCCATCATGGGGAGCCTCATGAGGGATAGTAACAATGTGGAAGAGGGAATCTATAAAAAAAAAACAATGTGGAAGAGGGATGTGCTCGAAGGATTGGAGGAATTGATTGGGAAATACTCAGTATCCATGAAATTTAAGCAATTAGAGGATGGTTATGTGTGGGTGCTAACGAATGTATATGGACCAAATGATTAGAGAGAGAGAGAGAGAGAGAGAAGTTGTGGGAGGAATTGGGTGATGTCAGGGGCCTATGGGAAGGACCTTGGTGTGTGGGTGGGGACTTCAATGTGGTCAGGTTTACAAAAGAAACTAATAATCCTAATCAGAGTGTAACAACTAGCATGAGGAAGTTTTATCTATTTGTGGGATGCTTTTAAGCTATTAGCTCACAAGACCTTCACTTGGTCTAATTTCCAATCGAATCCCATCTATTCTAAGTTGGATAGGTTTCTATCTTAAACAGATTGGGAAGAACATTGGGGGAGCTTAACATCTAGAGCACTTCCTAGATTGACTTCAGAACATTGGCCTATAGTGATTTGCAAGGAGGAAAGGAGGAGTGGAGGACCTGCCCCTTTTAGGTTTGAAAATATGTGGCTACTTCATCCTGGGTTTACTAAGAAAGAGAGTGGTGGGAAGAGTGTAATCCCTTAGTGGAATGGGAAGGTATGAGGTTTCACAAGAAACTCCAATTTCTGAAAGCAAAGATTAAGGAGTGGAAGCAATTGGAGTTTGGTAGAAGAAAGAAAAAGAATTTTGATGGATTAAATTGAGATTCTAGATTTGAAAGAAGAAAGGGGAGAATTTAAAGAGGGAGACAAGGAACAGAGAGGGGGTTTGAGAAGACAATTGGAGGATTGGCTGCACAAGGAGGAAATAAGTTGGAGACAAAAATCCTGATGCAAGTGGTTAAAAGAGAGAGAAACACTAGATTTTTTCATTTTGTGGCAAATGGAAGGAGAAACTTTATCTCCATATTGGAAGTTGAAGGATCTCTTCTGACACAACAAGATGAGATAGCAGGAGCCTTTGTAGAACACATTAATTCCATCTTTAGAAGGCCTTTAAGTGGTCGGGGGGTTAGAAGGATTGGAATGGCCAGAATTAGGGGCAGCAAACAGGCAAAGAATGGAAACTAGCATGGTTTAAAATGTCCCTAATTTCCCTAATATTTCCATTTCCATGGGTAGTGACACAAAATTTTACCAGAATCGACATTTCCCCAATGAACACTACCAACACTGTGGAGTACAACAAATAGTTTCCACAACATATTTCCATTTCCACTTCCATGGGTAGCGACATGAAATTTTACTGGAATCAACATATGTCCCAGTAAACACTACCAGTACTATATGGAGTCCAAGAGATAGTGTTATAACATAAGTTGGTACAATATTGTAAATATGTTAAGTAACAATTTTATTGGCCGCCTAACTTACATGATTACCACTTTGAGATAGCTCACACATGAAGTTAAATATTAGTTTTTTGTTTGTGTAATAGATTATTTGGTTGATCTATTACAATCATTTACATTTTCTGAGTTAAAATTTTGCTTTAACTCATTTTATCATGAAGCTCTGAATCTTAAAGTTTACAGGGCAACTTCAAAACGTATTATTTTATTTATAACCTTAGTTTCTTAACCTTGTTTAATGATTTGCAACAAGATAATAATTTAAAAAGGTGTGCCTATGCTTCTTTTATCATTTCATAAAATATCTTTCTATATTTTACATATTTTAAAATGTTTCCACCATGTCTATAATTTTTACATTATTTCCATACGATATTTCCAACACGTTTCTTATATTTGGATGACCAACATTTCCATCGACATTGGCATTTTAAACCTTGATGGAAAGGCCTGGTTTGAACTGGAGGAGATTAGGGAGGTTATGTTTTCTATGGACAAAACAAAAGCTCCAGGCCCGGATGGTTTTACGATGGCCTTTTACCAATATTGTTGGGATATCTTAGAAAGAGATCTAATGCTAGCGTTTAAGGAATTTCATAGGAGAGGAGTAATTAATCCTGAATTGAATTCAACCTTCCTTGCATTAATCCCAAAGAAGAAAGATGCCTCCCAACCAAAGGGCTTCAAACCAATCAGTTTGGTAAATAGTTTGTATAAGATAATCGCAAAGGTGCTGTCATTGAGGTTAAAGCAAGTCTTGCCATCTATCATTGCACCAAATCAAGGAGCTTTTGTGCGTGGAAAACAAATAACTGATCAAATCTTAAATGCCAATGAAAGTGTGGAAATTTTCAAAAAGGTTAGAAAGAAGGGAGTGGTTTGCAAACTGGACTTGGAAAAGGCTTATGACTTGGTTGATTGGTCTTTCCTGAAGAAAGTTATGGTTAAATTTGGGTTCAGAGAAAGATGGTGTAAATGGATTATGGGGTTTGTTC